CTTGCAAAAATCCCAAATGAGGCCCATCTTAAAACCTTGAACCTCTAAACCCCACTACACACACCTTTGCAGGTGTTTCACCCACGAATCCTCCATGGCCTCCCGCCGCCTGCGCGGGGCACTGGAAGCGGCCGCAAGGCCTCGTTGGACTTCCTGCGCCCTGCCGCGCAAGCTACTGGCTTTGAAGGGCTACGGGTTTGGGGTTGTAGTGTTCCTATCTTATGTTGTGCGCTGATGATGTTGGAGGAAGGTTCATACAGGGTTTGTGCATTGCGGTTGCTTGTGTAGTGGAAGGGCGGGCAGACTTGGGCAGGGGTAGTTTCATTGGTTGATTTTGCAGTCAGAGTCTGCGGTTTGCGGCTGGGTTTGCTTATGATGAGAAGCCCAATCTCACAGCCGGTGAGGAGCTCAACGATCCATAAAAGTATACACTCAGTCAGGTCTTTTTGGGACCCCTCGCTTGAAGCTAAGGCTGATGCCACACCCTCACAAGACTCTCTCAAAAGCTCTGTCCCCTCTGCGGGCTTCGTATTTGCAGGTGTCCTAAGGCACAGAGCTCGGCATTGAGGTCAAGTGTCAGGGTCTGAGGTGCTGCAAACTTTGGCTATCGACCCAGCTCAACCTAAACACCAACCCTACCAAAGCACAAACTGCCAATGCCACGACCCCAGAGCTGGAAAACGATGGGACACGTATGAGTAACAAAAACCCGGATAGCTACACCCCTTTTCTTCACATCTGATCTCTGCATTGCAATTACAAAATCAAAGGCCTCCATGAACAACTTCCAGAACTACACCCGAAGATGGACATCAAGGTTCTGTGTCCCACCTGGTTCCTCAGCTTTGTGAACATGCACGGTGCTATTCCGTAGGCGCGTCGCAGTTCTGGTACAGGGCTTCTTTCGGCAGCAAATGTTTAAAACAACAGGTCTTGAAGGCTTCTGGGATGTCATACTCCCTATTGCAGGTTTAAATACGGGTTCCCACCCCACGGCATTCTACAAGGCCTGAAATGGAGCTTGCGACTGTTTACGGAATGCTTTGAAGGTATCCAGGGAAAGGTCCAGAACGCATCACACGCTTTCGACGGTACGTTCAGCGACGTGCAAGGAATGAGGATCTGCAGGAACCCAAATCGCTTGAAAATGTAGAAATGTTGAAGACCACCAGGCGGGACAGGTTTGTGCTAGCAAGATTCTACTGCCGAAGCGGTCCCTCTGAATCTGGAACCCAGAAACCAACCGCCACGTTCCTGAATAGCAAATTCTTTTGGTCTCTCGCATAAACAAAAATTAGCAGGATGATAAAGGAAGCATGCTGCTGTATTCTGTGGTAGTCCCCTGTCCTGGCTTTCCAACTATTACTGGAAATCCCGAACTCCGAAACCCCCTACAAGTAACACCTAAACCGCTTTAAAGCCCTACAATACTTCCGTGGAGACCATGGGATGAAACCCTTGATTCTGCTTGGGGACCCAGGTCAGACTCCGGGATTGTAAGGGGCCCCAAAGAGCACACTCGGTTGTGGACGTCTGTGGTATGGGTAAAATTAATTTCTGTGCTTTGGAAGATTTTGGCGTAGCTGGGAAAAAAGTGCGACGAGCATACAGATCTAGTCTGATCCAAAACACCGGCACCGCCCTGTCTTCAGTGCAGCACTCAACGGAACCAAAGTATAAATTTTGAATCTACCATGGACTGCTGCCGGGTTCAGAGGCCTCTGCATGCAAAAACGAAATACATCTACAAACAAGAGGGCAACGTTCTCGCCGAAGCCACTCTAGATGGCAGAATTACCGACATGCTGTGGGCCTGGAGCATGATTGGCGGCTTTTTGACGCCGCCTCGCCAAAAAAACTCGGATAGGCTCTTTGCTTCTCTTAGAATGTCTGTCTTTGCATTGGGTAAACCTGACCAGCTTGATCGATCTGAAGTCTTTGCTGTATGAGTATGGAGGCTTCTTCATGTATCTCGCTGTGATTACGTTCGTAGCCTCGTGAAGCTTCAAAACTTGTCTTGATTCCAGAAGGGCTCCAAAAAAAGTAGGGTCTAATCCCAGATGTAACCCTCACACTTAATCTTAGGATCACAGCTGCTTCAAAATTCAGCTAACCCTGGGACAGCGAGTACAGATTGAAAAGGTCAAGAAATGCTAGTTGACGCCGCGGACAACATTTAGAACAGCCTAGCACCATCAAGAACCAAGGCTTGCATATCTGCCTGTGAAGGTTTAAGGCAATCTTTAACATTCCCCAAGCCTGGCAAAGAATAGATATGATTAGATAGTGCAGTGGCAGCAATAACAAGACCAGGAACTTTGGCTACTACTCCACTGGGGCCGCAATTATCATGGCTTGGTCCTGACTCTTTAGCCAATGTTCGATCCAACTTCTTCCCAGACCTTTTGGGTTCTTATTGCTGGGCTTCGGATTACGTCACTGGTTCTGTCCTGGCGCAGAAGGCCCGGTACCTAACATCTAGCCAGAGAAAAGCTTACAGTGGAGAATGCTGTGAACTCCCGAAACTGCTTGTTCAACACAACGCAATTGTATTGTTATGGAAGGTACTGGTCCTGCCGCCTCGCAGCCGTTCTTGCTGTTGCTATTGCCTTCCTTTCCTTCGGGGTTATGATTCCTTTCACTGCTACAAGTCATACTGCTCGACTGGTTCTGCCATCCCGCGCACTGGGAGGCATCAAGCAGTAGAGGGCCACAGCCAAAGACTCCCTGAGAGCTCCCAACCTCCAAAATTCTGCTCTTAGCGAAGCCTTTGTGCTACCATGACCCCTGTCAGCTCAATGAGCCTCACATTTGTCCTCTTCAAAACGCTTGGGCCCTCCTACTTGGAAAGCCTTGGCAAATGTTAGGATTTCTCAAAACAGGGTAAAATGCGTTTGGGGGTGATTACGACGAGGGTACCTCTTGGGATTCTGGAAGGATTCGTTCAAAAAAATCCTTTGCCGCTCTTCTGAAGGGGTAATCATGCGGAACCCCGCAAGCGAATCTCAAGAAGCAAGTTGAATGCTAGAGGGCATATAATACAAGAATACACGTTGATGTTGTTCCTGCGTGTAGTCCTAGTAGAAGTATCCTGAATTCATATTAATCCGGAACCCCGTGCACATTGTTTTGGGCCTCTGTGCTACCCTTTTGTCTGAGCCTTGCTGCTCTTCCCCAGGAGTTGCCCGAGCTCTGCGTCGAGGGCAGATGGCCTGTCTGGTTTACGGCTTAAGGTTGCGGATGAAGAGCAATCCCCTAGTGATGAAGCCCATACACTGAAACTAGTTCGTTTTCATTCAGCTTCTTAGGCATATGCGGGATTGGTGTTATTGGGGAGGGGGACTAAGACTAAGAAAGCTAAACGACAGTACACTCGGCACGTAGAACTGAACTTTTCAGCCGAGCCCTGTTCAATTGGCGCGAACGGGCCATCTACAAATCCCTGCAAAGCTTGATTTAACTGCAGCGGCAATATAGGCTGTCCGAAGGCAGAAGCTGATAACGGGTCTGAAAACCCTATGACCAAGAACGTCCTGACAATACCATGAGCTGGCGCCCCACTTGTTCCTACCAAGCATTGCTGTGATACGTGATATGTTGGGGCCACTGGCCGCAGCTCCACGAAGAAACCAAAAGAAAGGGAAACGGGTTAGCTGACGTTTGGGACTCCAGTCTCTCAGCGAGTTTTCCTGTAAATGGCATGGGAATTGCAAGCTCGTGTTACTGCAGTGGAAGGCTCTCTGCAGACCACTGGGCATTGCATCACGAGACCTCATCACAGGCTCTAGGGCTCGGGATACCCAGGTAAAGAGATTCTTGTACCGGCGGAGGCTATGGAGCCTCAACCCATGACTGCTACGACCAGAAGAGTGCTCCGGAGAGACCCGTCCACTGTACTTGCGATTCCCATGCCACATGCAAATCATACAGGCATACCTTAAGCTTGGTAATTACTTCACAGGGCCCTGATGTCTCCTGCACAGGCTCGCCTGTGTCTAAAGAAGCATCTGCTGCAATTTCCTCACTTACCCGAGCTTGTTCGGACCTTACCCTGCTTAAAAACCCTATAAGCCCAGGCTTGACATCAAAAAAGAAATTTGACCTGAATGAAGGTATCCTTGACAGACGTACCTTAAAAGTCTCCTGGTCATATTCTTGGTGCTTGCAACATCTTCTTGGATGTACCCCAATGACACAAGGGTTGTCAGAGAAAGCCCCCCAACAGAGTATAGACCAGATTCGAATGGTTTCTGACTTGCCTGATGAATGAAAAACGTGCTGTACACTGCGGGTGAGACCTTGATAGATGTTGAGTTCTGGCCCCAATATGACAATGCGCTGACTTGCCTGCTGTCCTTTGGAGAAACACAAGTTGCCACAAGGGATGCCATAGATTGCCAGAGTCATGCAGAGTCACACAGCAACAGCAGCGAGCGCAGAGAGCGCACAGAGCGTCTAAAAAACTTGAGTGTCTCGGGTCGACTCAACGGCTGTGGCTCAACAGGCCTCAAGCGGTGCTTCAGTATTCACCAAAGCCCTTCGTTCTACGCCCGGAGCAAAGACTAACCTCTTAGTCAGCACCCAGGATGGCAGTCAACACGCAGGAATGTGATTTTTATCCTTGGTGTGTACCCAGATCACATGGAAGATGCGATATATGATATATGCCATAAGGCGATCCCCTTCTTCAGCTTGGCTACCATGCGCTCTTTGGGTAGAACAAGGACCCTTCAAGGGTAAATGCTTTCTCGATCCTCCGGTCTGGGCAGGAGCTGCCTTCATGGGTGGCAGAGAAAAAATTCAAATCTCAGCTGGACAACCACTGAGTTGGATTATTCACAATTGCCTTTCGCCCGGTTAGCCGAGGGAGCGCGAGGAGGAGGTTTCTTCTAGTGGCCCTGAATCGACAGGAATCTTTGTCATGAACCTCGCGAACACCAGATGTTGCTACTAAAGATGCCCGACAAGTACTAAACCCCACACTCTTTCAAGGAGCGCTCCTAGAGCCACACGGACTTGGCATAAGGCAGATTCCTCACTTCTCCTTGTCGAAGACAGGCAAGCTTCATCTGCACACCATCCTGGGTTGCTGAGTTAAGGAACTCAAAGTACGCTAGCCATAACCACAAGGAGGGAATCTGGCAATTACTAATGAATTTTGCGAGTATCTATCCTGACTATGGCCTATGGCACAGTAATTCAAGTTCCTGAACATCAACCTGGTTTCAAGGAAACTTTGCTCGCAACCTGGATTGCTTTTCACGAAGTGCATCATACGGCACCAGTTCATGCGAGACAGAAGCTTGTTCATGTTTCTGGCTGCAGACGTCGAAAGAGATGGCATCTCCTTGTGCTTCGAAAGCTCCTGGTGTATCTCCTGCTGCACAGTGAAGGACTCAATGACAAGGCCTTCAATGTAAGCCCGTTGGAAGACCTGCTGAAGCACTAACTCCAGCACACCCCCAGGAGACATGCTCTGCATGAGCTCTCGCTGCTTTTTGTCTGGCTTTACAGGCTTGCCACGATTTGGGCAGGAGCCTGCGCAGCCAGGGCAGCAAAACTGACTGCCACGATCACTGCCCTGATCCGACCCGGATGGCCTCACTGGAGAGCATGTATACTGGAGCTCCAGATTAGTCAACACCCCTCCTTCACCAGAGATTGTTCATAGGGATCCTAATGCTACGTTCAATATAGCGGGATTTATGTCTACATTGATCGCTGGAATCACGAAGCAGGACGGCTGCACTAGGTGCCACAAAATACGATGCCGAAGTGGTGCCACGTCACTCTGCGTTTCGGAACGCTTCAACCTCCATGGCCGGAGCAGGCAGGGGTTCCTGCATAAATGTCACCACAGAATTTTCGGATGCAGGGTTTAGTTGTGAAGTTTCTTGGGTTCCTTCTACTCAAGTTGCTCTTCTACGTAGGTCTCGTGTAGATATGATGCAGGGTCTTAAGTCCAAAAGCCATTGTATATAGTACCCCAAACCCCCAAGCCAGCAACGCGCAACTTCTGCAGCATGCTGAGGGGTCTTGGATCTTGGCAGCCTCTCAGCAAGCCCAACTTCCACAAGCAACTTCAGAAGGAAGAAATCTTTAACCTTACACCTTCAGCTTGGGGTTACAAATACCGTCATGGAAGCCCGGGCCAAGCGCTGGTGTTGAGATTGGTGGGAGGGGCGCCAAGCTTGATGCAAACTCTTGCCCGAAGTGTTCACCAATTTGAGACTCTCTCTTATTCCTCTTCTTCTTCTTATTTGGGCGTTGGAGGGCACTACAACCCTCTCAGGCACAGCACTGCGCGCTCGCAAGCTCGGTGCATCGTGGTCGGTACCCCGGAGGAGCGAAACGCATACAAAGTGTTGCCACATACGGTGCACTAGGACCCTCAGGTTATCCACCACGTGACCCGCCCTGTATCTGGCCCTAGTTTGGGCGTGTTTCCTTCGCCATAGGGCTGCGAGACTCTTAGAACCGAGGCCTGTCGACTCAGGCATGGTTAGGGCCCCGTGCCGTATTAGTCTCCACAACAAGTGCGGCAACAAGAAGTGTGCTAAGCGTTAATCTCAACTGCATGCTTAGAGTGGCTCCCCACGCATATGGGCTTTGGGCTCCGCAGGTCTTAAATTCTCGACTCAGCACAAAACACCCATGATGACTGCCCATCACACCGCTACTGGGCTAGCCAGGAAATCCTGAGGCCTGGAGAAATTAGATTGGGACTCGTTGAGGAGCCTGACACAGTATCTTCAGGGTAAATGCATGTAACTGCTTTTGGGCGCTAGGGGCACCTTCTCAAAGCCTGACAGGCCAACACCGCGACATCATGGCTCCCCTAGCTCCCCACCTGCCCCGCGGTTGACGCCACATGCCGGTCTCCTTACTTCGGCTTGCCACAGGCAAATCTCACACCTCACGGTTGGGGCTCCGCTCAGAACGCAGCCTCTACGAGCGAAAGTCTATAAAACGCGACTCACTACAAGGGGTTCTCTTTGCCCCCATAACCGTGCTTCTCTCTCTCTCTCTCTCTTGCTTCGCTTTGGTGGCAGGGATGACCGTCGAGACGTCCGGATGGTGCACCATTCTGTGTCTTCGCCTTTGGTTAGCGTGGAACATTGGACTACGGAGGGCTCACTCACTCTCTCTCTCTCTCTTCTTCTTCTGCGGGCTAG